TTAGGTTAAACTCTCGGTAACCCTGTAGCGAATCGACTCTATGACAATGGGTTTGGTGGTTTTTTAGTAGGTTAAAACTGTAGCTCATAGTCGTTATACTTTGCATCTTTCTGATTATTTGGGAGAATGAACATATTTTTATATTTATAGGCCACTAGTGTTTTGCTTGGAGTCCCTGGGTGGTGTGCATACAGTTAACATGCTTGACAGCTTATCAAAAGCCTGGCAGTTCATGTCTATCCAGAGGTACCTGGGAAGAAAGGCCTGACAATCTACTTCCAAAAAAATCAGCCATCAAAAATGCTATGGAGTGCCATGAGTCGGAGTCGACTCCAGTGCAACTATTTTTTCTCCCCTCCCACATAATAAGCAAGGTATTTATTTGTGTTTGCCATTATCATTTTCTTCACTAAGTTTAGCTCTGAGATTTCCAAACTTGTGTTCTAATCCACAAAGGTTTAGGAAGTCAATAATATTTCAATGAAAAGGAGACGTTTCCTTGATGTAGGACTGTGCCAACTAACCAATATATTTTTTTCCAGCTCTGAGTTGAAATTTATACACTGAGTCATACTCATTGTATAACACAAGTCCTTCCCAAAAGTCTTAGATAACTGAAAATGGGATCACAGATTAAGAATTTCTTAATGAAAGCTGTTATTTTAGAAGACTAATGTTAAAAAAAGTCTAGCAATTTGAGGACATCTGTAATAAAAGATACACTCCTGAGGAAAATTTGCTTGGGATTTTTGGCCTAGAAATTGATGCTGCCCTCTCCTGGAAGAAATGCAGAAGACACACTCACTTTGTGTGTGTGTGTAGGTGTGCATGTGTGTGTATGTATGTGTGTAAGTATGAAAGAGCGAGAGGGACACAGGACCATGAGGCAGAGAAGCGTGGAGTCCATGCTGGTCAGGGAAGGCAGGCTGGTGGCCTTTCTCTAAGGCTACTCATCCCCATCAACAACCTACTCGTGACGTGGTCACCTCCCATGGTCTTCACAGCTGCTGAGGACATGAGACACAAACACTTCACAGGCTGAAGGAAAGGCCTTTATTTTAGCAGGTGAAACAACTAGTGTGAGTGTTAACCTGCTTTTCTTTTTCTTCCCTGACCCTGTTCTTTCACTATATATTTTTAATTCACCTACACTCTATTTATTTGCTTTTTTACTTGTCCTTCTGCCTCTTTTTTCCTCCTCTCTTTCTTTCAAGTAGTGAATAGTACATCTCTGTGTGTATCCATCATAGCTTTTACCCTCTTCCTAAACTAGTATAGCAGCTAGTTTACATTAAAATTTACATACTGAATTGACAAACTAACATTTATGAGAAATGCACAATGTATATAAAACCCAATGCCGTAGAGTCGATTCTGACTCATAGTAACCCTATAAGACAGTGTAGATCTGCCCCATAGGGTTTCCTAGAAGTGGCTGGTGGTTTGAACTGTTGATCTTTTGCTAAGCAGATGAGCTCTTAACCACTGCGCCATCAGGGCTCTGCGATATATATAGAAAGACTATAACATGAATACTCTTGCCTGAACGAATCAGTTTAAGGAAGAGATCATTTTGAGAAGTTTTATGTTCTGTGTCACACTCCAGATTCCATTAGTTTTTTTCTACCTCCTTCAGGTAACCGTAACCTGAAGTTTAGATTTGCCATTCACTTGCTTTTCCTTTAGTTTTAGCACTTATATAAGAATCTGCGAAATACATTTAATTTTGTGTGTTTTTGGACTTTATCTACTACATTGGGTCATTCTGTTCATTGACTCATAGAGATGATATGTACAACAGAGCAAAACACTGCCCAGTCCTGAGCCATCCTCACAATCATTGTTATGCTTGAGCCTGTTGTTGCAGCCTCTGTGTCAATCTAGCTCATTGAGTGTCTTTCTCTTTTTTGTTGACCCTCTACTTTATGAAGCATGATGTCCTTCTCCAGGGACTGATTCCTCCTGATAACAATTTATATATAATATCCCTTTAATTTTGCCAATCTATTAGGGTAAAATTGTATCACACAGTAGTTTAACCTTGCATCTTTCTGATTACTAAGGAGATTGAATGTGTTTTTACATTTATAGTCCACTATTGTTTTTAGTAAACTGCATTTTCCCATATTTCTTTTTGGGTGATTATTATTTATTTTGGCAGTTCTGTATGTATTCTGGATACTAAAACTGTGTCAGTTATATGTATGGATAATATCTTCATTTCATGGCTTGTGCTGCCACTGCATTTATGATGCTTTCTATTGAGCACAACTTCTTTGTTGTTTTGTTTGTTAGGTGCCATCAAGTCGCTTCTGACTCATAGTGACCGTACGTGCAACAGAAAGAAACCCCTGAGGTCAGTGGGGAGTGGGCAGCTCCAGCAGGTGAGGAAGCACCCAGGCGTCTCCAGCACCTAGTGGAGTTGAGAAGAAGCTGTATGTGGTGTGGTGACCTGCCAGCGTCCTCCACCGAATCGTGTTATAGCTACACCATTGTCCAGACATTAATATGGATTGACAGTCACCTTGTCAACCTTCCTAGCTGCACTCATGGGAGTGTGCTCCTAAATCTCTGTCCTAAGTTCTCTGTCTTTCTCAAGGCACATTTGCTTATCGAGGGATCATATGCACTTTCCTTCTCCAGCTGTGCTAAATGTCCCTAGTTTCTCTCTCCATTCATATCCATTCTCTGAGTCCATAACTTGAACATCCAACTGATTCCCACATACTTCCAGTTGGATTTCTGTCCCAATGGCACCTGGTCTCAAAGTAAATCATGGTCTCCCCCCACTTGGTCCTCCCAATTCACCCAACTCTAGTAGTCATCTCCACCACCTTCCTGTCTATTTACTCTCATGTCTAATCAGTTACCATGCTCTTTTGATTGGACTGCATAAACATATTTTAAATCCCTCATTTCCCTGTATTTCTACCACCACCGTCATCATCCTAGCTAAACTTAAGCGTACAAGATCCCTGTGCCGGTCGGTAGGAACCGGTGCTGCATCCAGACCTGCCTTTCCCAATCCTGCTGACTGTTAGAGACCCAGCCCACATCCATTCTTTGGATGAATATGGCCACACCATTGGCTGTAACCCAGTTCAAATTTGTGCTCTGTTCTCCTTGAACAAAGACCATCAAAGAAAACCCTAGAGCATTTCTTCCAGAGTTTTGATGATCTAAATGTGCATTTCTTTTTTAGGTGTAGCACTTTCCTTCTGTGCTCATTCACTCTTGTCAGTGTACGTGGTGTGGCTCCGTGGTTTGCTATTGCTTATAGTGTGCTTAAGAACACTGTTGTGTTCATGCCTTCCTATGTGTGTATGTGAGTCTTTCCTGGGTCTAACCTGAGAGTGAGCTGCTGGGTTATGAGGTTTAGAAATGTCTGACTATATGAGATAATGCCAAACTGTCCCCAAATTGTTTCTATCACTATGCTCCCACCAGTGATGTGTAATTGATTCTTTCAATCCATACCCTTGCCAACATTCAGTATTGTCAAACTTTTCATATTTTGATAATTGTTATGGATTGAATTGTGTTCACCTCAAAATATATGTAAACTTGGCTAGGCCATGATTTCCAGTATTGTGTGATTGTCCACCATTTTTTCATCTGATGTGATTTTCCTATGTGTTGTAAATCCTACCTCTGTGATGTTAATGAAGCAGGATTAGAGGCAGTTGTGTTAATGAAGGAGTACTCAATCTACAGGTTTATGTTGTATCTTAAGTCAATCTCTTTCAAGATATAAAAGAGAGAAGTGAGCAGAGAAACAGGGGGACCTCATACCACCAAGAAAGTAGTGCCAGGAGCAGAGCATGTCCTTTGGACTTGGGGTCCCTGTGCTGAGAAGCTCCTAGTCCAGGGGAAGATTGATGACAAGGACCTTCCTCTGGAGCCAAGAGAGAGTGAAAACCCTCTCCTGGAACTCACTTCCTGAATTTGGATTTGTAGCTTACTAGACTGTGAGAGAATAAACTTGTTTTTTGAAGCCCTCCACTTGTGGTATTTCTGTTATAGAAACACTAGATAGCTAAGACAATAATCCTATGTATATAAACTTACATATCATTATGTCTTCTTCCCATTTTCCTGATCTCAATGAAATTAAATATCTTTTCTTCCATTTATTGGTCGTATATGTTTCTTCTTCTATTAAATGCATGTGCATGTCTTTTGCTCATTTTCTACTGGGTCATACAAGATTAGTGGTCACTGTAATTTTGGTTTCCACTAGGAAAAGATTTTTTCTGCAAGCGCCTACACTCACTGCTCCACTTAATGGCGTCTGGCTTCTGACGGAGCTTTCTAGGTCTTTAGACAAGTCATATTGTTGGAAGTCTTCCTTACATGCTCTTCTGCATTCTCTCCCCTTAGACGCCTCTCTCAAGAGGCAGCTTAGCCAACACCTTCCCTGCACCTGGTCTTACCTGTCCGTTCATCAATCAAAGCACTACGTAGTCATCATAGAAATGCTCTCATGAGTGAAGCTCTCTGCTTAGCTGATTTATCCCTCTTTATCTCAAGGGCCCAGCATGGTGACAAGACATTGTCAAATAGTCTTGGAAAGCCAAAGCCTACACTTAACACAGAAAATACAAGTATTTTATAGACGTGTCTTGGGATCTACCTATAGTGAATTTTTCCAACCATATTTTCCATGATTAACATGTGGCAGAATCAGGACTACCATCCAGGTTTTATAATTTTCAGTCCAGGGATGTCGCTATGTGGGTGGTCACTTTATAGACCTAGCACCATGCCTGTTTTCTGGATCTCACACATGTGCCCCTAACTCCATACTCAGATACTCTCTTTCTATACACAGACACACATATATGCTGTATACATACACACACACACACAATCTCTCAATTTTTCTCTTTACACACATACACACACAAAATACACATACACCATCTGTCAATCTCTGTACACACACACACACAAAATACACACAACCACACACTTCACAAACACACATACTGACAGGTGTCTCAGTTCAAGGATCTGTGGTTTCCTACCCTGCACACTGCCTTCCACAGGGCCCACACACCCATGGGGAGCAGAAAGGGTTGGCCAGGTAGAGGTTCTTGCTCAAGTCCCTGATCTCTGCGCAGCACTGTGTCACTGGCACCACAGAAGTAGAGGCTGCTGTCCTCGGCCTGTCCACTGGTCACTGTCAGTGTTGAAAATGTGAGGTTTGGGTGGCTGATGGGGAACTTGGCCTTGGTGAAGCCTTGCTCGTAGGTAACGCTGGAACCCTGGTTAGAAGTTGCAATCAGAGTGAAGCTCTGTCTCGGGGGCTGGTGATACCACAGAATCGTCCAGGCCTGGATGCCCGTGGAGCGGCACTGTATCTTCACCGAGGCCCCGCTCTTGCAGATGGCTCTGCTTGGGTGTTGAGAGACGAGCGCACCCAGCACAGGGCCTGGAGACACAGAATCCAAGGGTGAAGGGCTGAAGGCCAGGGGTCCGATGTGATCCAGGCAGATACCTTAGCCTTGCCCCTCACTCTTCCCCAGCTCCAAGGAGCCCTAATTGTTCTGTGAAATCTCCCTGTCCTACTTCCCAGGATCACAACCCCATCCCCTGACTGGAGAACTCTTACCTCGCCCTTTAGCTCTTGAAGAGCACGGCAGCTACTTCTCCCAGCCACACACACACACACACACACACACTCACACTCATATACAGTTACACACACATTTGTATACACACTTGTACACACACACTTATACATGCACTCACATATACACTCATACACACACACTTGCACACACACCTGTAACACACATACACAGTCACAGATGCACACTCACTCACACATACCCACATACTCATACATACGCTCATACTCATATACGTAGTCATACACGCACTCATTCACACACATACTAACACACATACATATTCATGCACTCATACACACTCACACAAACACACACTCATACCTACACCCTCCCCAGCACCTAGGCACAAGGTGGCACATACCGGGCCCCACGAGCAGAAGCAGCACCAGCATCCTCCAGAGCTGGCCTCTCACCACACCATCTCCCAGGAGATTGGGACCCTGCTCTTCCTTCTTCTCTGCAATGCCAGGGGCCCTCCTGGGGGGGATGCTCTGATCTGCCCCCTGGTGGTGACCTCACCAGTGGTGCAACCTGCATCCATCTGCCAACTGTCAGAGAACCAGGCATTGCTGAAAGGGCACTCAGACTTTCTAATCCGGCTTCTAAATTTATAAGAGATAGGCTGAGACCTGGAGCTTTGGAATAGCTTACCCACCTTCATATGGGGTCGCCATGAGTCAGAATCAACTAGACGGCAGCTAAGAACAACAGTTCAACTTTCTTAGCCTTATATAAGGGAAGGGGCGTGTTGTGTAGTGAATGATGTTATTGTCAGTTCTTGGCTTCTGTGCAATGTTCTCAAAGTTGTCAGACCAAGACATATCGTGGTTGTTAATCATGACACCTACTGAAATCCTAGGCTGGAGGTGCAGTGATTCTTCATAACTGTGATGAGGAAAAGGAGACTGGTGGTGCAGTGATTAAGCACTTGACTGTTAAATGAAAGGTCGGCAGTTCGAACCCACCAGCTCTTCTGGCAGTCTGTTTCCATAAAGATTACATTCCAGAATACCCTATGGGTCAGTTCCACTCTGTCCTATAGGGTCTCCATGAGTCACAATTGACTTGATGGCAGTGGGTTTCGTTATTTTGATGATGACGCCACTCCTTCATTTTCTAAATGCAGCATTTACTTCACGACTATGGCATGATATGTACTGATGAGGTTGACCAAGAAGTGTTTATTGACCATTGTCTGCATGTCTCTGGGTGAAGCAACTTGGAGACTCAAGGAGAATTAATTCTGATTGTTTTACTGTAGTGGAAGACATAGTTGAGTATTGGCCATTAGAAAAGGGTTCTAGGAGATTTAGGGAATTCCTTTCTGCTTTGGGTGTGCTGGACTACTTGTCTTGCAGGATTACTCCTGGAAACGAAGAAAGAGCCTGGAGGACTTTCTCGAAAACATTTTACTTTCATTTTTTTTTTTTTAATATTTTATTGTACTTCAGGTGAAGGCTTACAGAACAGATAGTTTCTCATGTAACAGTAACACACATGCTGTTTTATGAC